AAACAACGTGTTGCTTTTGGTCCTGTTCCGATCCACCAGCCGACTTACTGCATAAAGCGATTTAGGAATCATGAGATTTCAAAATCACCTGCAGCTTGAACACCGTGAGACACAATTGACTCTGTTCACATGCAGTTTCCCCCCACATCACAGGACTGTGCTGCTTCACCATAACTGGCTTCACAACTGGACCTGGAGAGGTGCTTTGCGGAGTAAATTGTGTGTGTGTGTGTGTGTGTGTGTGTGTGTGTGTGTGTGTGTGTGTGTGTGTTTGCTTATCTCTGTCCATGTATGTGTACTTGCAGGTTTACTTGGATAGTAGTGATTCATCACCTGCTACAGAACATCACCCCCGACGGAGAAAATGCTTCCATGGAACAAAAGAGGTCACACAATGGGGAGCAGTTACGAAACAAGAATCCAGGCCCACAAACACACGCACACACGCACACTGCACACACAATGAGATTGCTTCAGGGCTAAAAACAACGCAGCCGTAATTAAACTATTGCCCAAATTGCATTTGAAATTTGACTGTTGTTTCTGATTCAGGCTGCTTCAATTAATGAGAGCAGGGCACTTAGACAGATCTTATACTAAGCCAAGTCGGGACCACCAGGAGGTGTTGGAATCTAAATCACCACTGTGCCGCGCTCACGCGTGTGCAACCTGTGAGGGTCTCCCGCGCGCTTTGCCGACGCCGAGCCCGACTGTGCACGGAGTGCAAATCACCATCAGGAGTTACGATCGACTGGCGGCTCCTCCTCTGTCAGCTGGGTTGGACAAGAGACAAGGCCGCGGAGGAGGAGGCGGGAGGGGGGTTGGAAGGAGGAAGGCCAATAAGTGGCTCTCCTCGCTGTGCCTTCCGCTCAGAGTTGCTTCAGCTGCACTCCACAAACCGTTTCAGTTGATGGAGAGCTTCCCGGGCATCATGACGATCGGGCTCCCACAATTTGGTCAATTTTCTGTGCTGATTGGGATGAAGCCTGAAATGTTTAATGGAGGCTCAGAGGTAGGGTGGTGTGCAAACATCTAATCTCCAGCCTGATGCTTCGGGGGCCAACCCTCCCTGCCAGAAACCCCAAAATACCCCCGCAAGGACAGAAAAAAATCGCTCTTTGACTCAGCCTTTCCTGGCCGCAGGTGCCTGTCTGACAACCACAAGAGAGTTCATGGAGAAAAAGGCACGTTTGTCTTTACATTCAGCAATTTTTGTGGGAACGTTTTGAGATGTCAGAATGATGTTCACATGCATGGAATATATAGACCAATAAAAACAAGGGGAAGACATTCAGCTACACACTTTTGTAGAGGTGTTAATGTGAACGCGGGGAGAAGGAACAGAGAATGTAATATCGAAAATTATTATTATTATGTTCTTACTAAATGTACTGCTTTGTTTGGTGATATGAATCCTGCTGTACGTGTGTTTTCATGTTGAATAAACTATTACAGTAGTAAGCCTCTGCAACTAGCAGAGAGTATTTGCACGGGCTTGTTTACTCGTGTCTCGAGGCCTGTTAGCCCATCAGCTCCTGCTTGGCCTTTAAGAAACAGGCTGTCCAAACCAAACAATTAAATGCACTATATATGTGTTTGTGTGTGTGTGTGTGTGTGTGTGTGTGTGTGTGTGTGCGACTCAACGTCGCACCGTAACTGCAGCAACATGTTTGCGTGTCCGTGTTTATCGGCACAGAGAGCTTATGTGTGGCTTAGTGTTTACCAACTGTTTTATAGTTGTGCGACGCACACAGGTCATGATGTATTTCCATACACATAGATAGATAGATAGATAGATAGATAGATAGATAGATAGATAGATAGATAGATAGATAGATAGATAGATAGATAGATAGATAGAGAGGTTGATACTTTATTGATCCCCCAAGAGGAAAAACATGGAATTAAGTCCCACTGAATACAATCTTTAAGGAACATAATGCCACAAAATGCACTTCAATTGAATTAAATGCCCAGTAGGAGTGTGTGCTTAGTGTATGGTTGGGCTTATGTGAGCCTCTCCTGTGTGTGTGTGTGTGTGTAAAGTATAAGTTTGCAACAGATGCCATAATCTCCTTGCAGTCATGGTTTAGGAAGAGATCATGTAAGCCATAGTGGTAGGAACAGTTTGTCACTCGAGTGTAATAATATTTCTGCGAACACACATGCACACATACACGCTCTCACACACACACACACGCACAGTAAAAGGTACATCATCCCATGGCCTGAGGACTTTACTGGCAGAAAACGGTCCATTTCTGAAGATTAAGCACAGAGCGCTGCAGTAGCTCAAATGCAAATGGGAAAAACCGGGGACTTCATCAGGCAGAGACAGCGGGGACAAAGAGACGGATGGTTTACTATAAAAAGGTTCCAAAAATGAAGAGAAAGGAAACGACAGAGATAAGCAGGGAAATAAAACAGAAAGTGGAACAATTCAACGCGAAAGAAGAATTTAATGCTATTTTCCCTCTGAAGTAATTGGACATGTACTTTCCTCCTCTGTCTCCTCTCCTAATCCCTTTTGTCCTCCCGCCCTCCCGTCTCCCTCTCACTCTTGACCTTCATGTCTATATATCTCCTGTGCGTCCCTTCAACATTCTCCCCACTGCTTTGGGTAGAGCCACGACAGGAGAAGAGGATGTTTTTGACTCCTCTCATTGAACCGCCGGTGGTGCGCATGAGTGCGATTACATGCAGTGTGTTTGCGTGTCGCGTTGGTGGACCGTGGCTGAGGATGCCGTTAATTCCACCAGACTGCATGTGGTCATGCTTGTCCCCACTCACACAGCGCACGTGCGCGCGTGTGATATTGTGTGACTTATTTTTCTTACACAACAGCTGCCATCAACACGCAAACATCTGCGATGTCCCTTTACATCGGTGGCGATCGTAACTGCATCTCCTCGTATAGGTTGAATTGACAGACGTTCCATCGATGTATGCGTGTTCATGCTCCTTCGCTTGCAGGAATGCGTCTGCCCGGATCGACATTCTGGTGTGCGTCCGTGTGTGAGTGAGTGACTACCAGTGTGTCCATGTGTGAGATGATTACAAATCCTTTCCTAGAAGAACGGCGTCGGTCACCAGTGTGGCTTTGAATGTTCACGGACAGCCGGCGAGTGAAACCATTCTGCCGTTGCTGTTCCCCTCATGAATTGATTTGGTATTTATGTTCCGCAGAATTTAGTAGAAGAAGATACAGATAAGCCGATTATGAATGAATTTGGGGATTTTTGTCTGCTTTCATTTGATGTTATTTACTTCTAAATTACACCCAGCCTTGTGTTCACAACACAATTGCTACGTATAGAACAGATCTGTTGGAAAGCATGCCTTTGAGCTATCGTTATCGCCACAGTCTGTTTAGCAGTAAATCAATGCATTTTCTTTGCAATCATCCTCTCCAACGGTGGACTAATAGCTGTTTGCAAAACAATGTTCGGGCGGCCACTAGCCTCGAGCTCCGCCGTCGCACAGGCTGTAAATCAGAGCTCCAAATGACACAAACTCCACCCGGAGAGAGACAGTAATTCATCCTAAAACCCGATTTAAGCTCTTTTAATGCGCTAATGAAAAGTGCTGCATTCATACGTAGCTGGTAGACGGCAATGTTGTGACATCGGGCCCATCTGTGACTCGGTCTGAACTCCTAATGAGAACATTGCGGCGCCGGAGGCAGAGGCACACGCAGAGAGCGACGGGAGGGGAAGGAACGGCGGGAAGAGATGATCAATGCAAACCTTGCCACCTCTTCTTACTCCCTACTCCTCCTCTTTGCTGCCTCGCCTCCTCCCTCCTTCCTGATACACTAGGTCTAACTCAATACACCACGCAGCAAAATAAAATCAATAAAATACTGAGAGGAACGTATGGCTGTGGGGTTGAAGGAAAGAAATAAAGAGTGGAGGGGCAACGCATTTTTGACAGCTTTTTTTCTAAACATCACAAAAGCATTGTATGCGAATATGGACCCCTAAGGAGACACACTGCAGTAACCTGTACCAAGCATATTGGTTATTATCTCAAGCTCACAATCCATTTCCCAACGAATCCATCACAAACACGGATTTACACACTCCACGGTCGTAGTAATCTCCAAACCGCACCCTCGCTGCCCAGACGGGGAGAGTCGGGGCACCAGAACAGCTGCCAAGGCTTCGCATCGACATGCAGGCATAAAAAAGGCTGACGTACATTAAAAAAAAAAGTTCTCCAAAACACATTTGAATATAACTGTATAGTCAGAAGTGCCGTTTGCTCCTGAGATTGTTTTCTCTTGTTGAATAAATCATGTGTGTCTAGTCTGTAAGAGGGCGCGTGAGGTTTGAAAACACGCAGAACGAAATACAAACGATTTCCTCGCAAAATTTGACAAGTGTTGCAAATTGCAAAAGTCTTTGACAAAGACAATATTATTCATCGCTGTCCTGCCGTGTCAACATCTGCCCTGTCTTTTTTTGCGGCGGCGCGTACACATCGCCATTTCACCCCGACGTACACATTCCGTGGACTCGCACGCGTCCCTTTTACCGAGCAGTTCATCACACGCTCCCTTAACGGCCCCATCGTTTCCCCTCAAACTACCAGGAAGGATTAAAAATGCAGCAAAAATGCTGAGAACATGCTTTTCCATTGGGAATTGACGAGAGGGTTCAATGTCCAAAATCCTCAACACCACCCATCCCTACAGCGCTGCCTCCATCAAAGTCCTGCGTCGACGCGCGTTCGTTCATTCATTCAATCACTCACTTCTCTTCAGTAGCCATATTCCTTATTCCCTGAACTCTCTTTCCAACCCTTCCTCAAATGACACATGTCATGTCATTGTTCTCCCATCAAATTTACTCCCACTTCGGCATCCTGCACTTTACTAATTCACGTCTTCCCTCGTATCCTCGTATTTCTCATCCCCATTCATTCCTTCATCATTACTCTAATCTCTCCCATCCTCTGCCGCCGCCGGTGTGTGTGTGTGAATGTGTGAAAACACTAACCTGCCCTTCTGGCATGCGGAGCACAGCCACGCTTTGTCCTTCTTGTTGTAGGTGCAGCAGGTCTTGCAGACGTTGTACTGGCAGTCCAAGCACAGGCGCTTAGGGTTGAGCAGGAAGGTGAAGGGCGCACAGCAGCGGATGCAGCAGTGCTCGTTGAAGCGGTGCTGCTTGGAGAGGATGGAGCATCTGCTGCCTTCCTCCGCCAGCTCCTGCTTCATCTCGCTGAAACCGCGAGAGGGAGAGGAGAGAGAGAGAGAGAGAGAGAGAGAGAGGGAGGGGGAGGGGGAGAGAGAGCGAGAGAGGGTGGTGAGTGTCTGGTCGAGAGGTGGAACGTGAAAACGGCAGAGGATGGCGATGCGGAATAATTGGGGATATTGTGGCTAATTAAAAATCTAAAAAAAGGGGAGGGCATCGGATCGAATCGGGGCGAGGGCTGAGTGGATCGAGAAGCTCGGTGAAAACACACTTTCCCGCTTCCTCTCAGTCTCAGTCTCTGTGGAATTAACATGACGGCTGACATTTGAATTTGGGAGGACCTGTCACGGCTTGTTTGCCCACATCGGTCAATAGAGAGAGCAGGCACGCCCTGTACATCCTGTATCTTTGTTAATTAGGGCATTATGAGGACGACGGAGATGAGAATAAACTGACGTCAAGCGTTCCAAGTTGAAGGTCCGTTGATGGGTATTTCATGGTCAACGCTCACGTAGCGCGAGAGGGAGAACGTCAGTGATGAAAAGCCTCCGCGGTCACAGTCCCCGGGGAGCCGTTTGGGCTCCATGCCAAGTGGTAGTTTGAAACTGCGTTAATGAAGGAGCGCCGAAGAGCAGCACAGTCCCACTGATCTTAACGCCTCAGAGCAATGTTCACACTAATGAACTATTAGGATTATAGGCAGAAATACTTGACCAAAGCTTATTTGAAAATCGCATACAATCCACAACCACAGCTGACACTGACATTCAAACAGCTGCACACAACAAATTGTGCTTCATTTCACCCCGACAAAAGACTGCTGAAACTAAAAAGACAAGATAACATAGATTGTTAATCAGTGTGTTAACAAGCACAGCAGCTTTGTTATCCGAGACCTACACTAAAATGTTCACATAAATTATGCACATTGGTTTTTCACTCTGTAGGGTTTGCGCTGACTAAGCAATGCACCAAAGGCAGTGGCTGCAATAAATAATGGTGTGTTTTGCATTTATATCATAAACCTTTCATCATTAGCGCATATTGCACTTGTGTAAATTACATTTCAAATAACAGAAAACGAGGACGATCTGTGATCCGCCATCACCCATCAGCTGCCATTAGGCGCCAGTGGAGGCTGAGGCGCGGAGATGCAGCTGTTGCTGCTGGGAAGGTGTGAAAGAGCATTCAGCTCAAACGGGCAGTGAATAAATTATTCACGCTGCTCTTCTATACACTACACGCAGCCATGTTACAGCACACGTCGCTCTCACTGATCATGAACATCCACAAACCTAGAAAGCAGATGCCGTCTCATTTAATAGAATGAGAAGGTTGTGTCCAAACCTTTGACTGGTGCTGTACATGCTACAATGTATGTGCAAAACATAGACAGATGTCCTTGTTTACAGGGGAAACGCCATGCGTCTCCGACAAAGCACGGATAGAACACAAAATGTTTTGAAGCATCCGAGGTCCAACTAATCAACACACACACACACACAAGTCACACACAGAAAATGACATCCATGGCAAATGCTGGTGCTGGATGTAGCATATTGTCAATTTCCTGTGTGTCTGGAGCCAGTGGGGGCATTGCAATCTCCTGCTTCCCTAAGTTATTAATCCTCTGCTGCCTCACTGATTGCTTTTCACATGCATCATTAGACGCAGCATATTAACAAGATGAACAAACCATTTTATATACAGTGTCGCGTGAGAATGTGGTTAGGGGGGATGGGGGGGGGGGGGTGTCCTAAGGCGGGCTGAAAGGCAGTGGTTGGCAGATGCATACTGTGGATACTGACGTACACCCAATTATGCATCAAGATGATCAAAAGGAGGTTTTGTATTCTGCAAATGGAAGGTCACAGCTGCCGGGAAATGGTGGCCCCCGATCAAATAATTAAAACAACCTTAAACAAAACTTGTGGGTTCCAAGGATCCATAGTATATGCATACAGATATTTTACCCACCAAACGGTGAAAGCCCAATATGAGCAGCATACACTCAATAACTCAAAGAAGCCATTGCCTGGAAATAATTTCCTTCAGTTCAGATTAGTACCAGATTCCATTTAGCCTCCCTGTGTGATACGGGTTTAATGAACAGCACAGTAATGGCAACGAGCTCCGGCCATTTAATTATATGAGTGGGAGAACATACGCATATATCCAAGGACAAGAGGGGTTTGTCATGCCTGGTGCCCCGACACATTAACTCACATCTCTGTTAATGAGACATGAAAACCTGTGCTCATTTAACGGCCATGACAGGAGGTACATGTGGGTCATCACATGTACCTCCGGTAAGGTACAAGTACCTCATTACAACTAACCGTAGTTTCTCTTTATCAGCAAATTGCTCTGTTAAGTTGAATGGGTAACATTAGCAAGCAAATTATATATTTTATTTCCCAATTATTTATATTCTAACAGCTAAAGTTAACATGAATGCATATAATTTAAACCCCTGGTTTGTATGTAGTACCTATGTGGTAAAATAGTCATTTAAAAAAGAGATGATTGTCCTGCGTATTGTGGCCGGGCTCGGCCTTTGAGATGAGGAGCTCCGACATCAGGAAGGAACTTGGGAGTTGAGGCGGATAGAACGGAGTCAGCTGAGGTGCTTTGATCATCTAACTAGGATGGCTCCCAGTGAAGGTTTTTCGGGGCCCACCCAACTGCCCCTGGGGAAGAGCCAGGACACGCTGGAGGGATTAGATCTCCCAGAAGGAGCAGGGAAATGTAGCCAGTGAGAGGTAGGTCTGGGTCAACCTGCTGGGCCTGCTTCCACCCCGACCGGACCCCCGCATGAGTGGAGGAAAATGGATGCATGGGACCTCAAGTCACCACGGCCACACAGTAGTTTCGCGTTCGTAGGAGTAATGGTTTTATTTTAGATGTGGGGTCATTTCATAAGGATAACAGGCCTTTTGTTCTGTGCAGCGCTCTCATAAACAATTATAATCTCCTAATTATGGGGGCATTGTTGCAATTATTTTTATATGGCCATGGTGGATATTTTACCTCTGTGGTTAGAATAAACATACAAATCTGTTGGAGGTTTATGTTACTACGCCGTATACAAGGTTTCCTACAGGCTGCCAGCCCAGCCGTAGCCATCTTGTGAGGTATCATCTGAAAGATTCTCATACACACAGCATTGGTTTACTGCACCTTTCCTACGAAGTGATCCATATTTCTTTTCACACATTCATTCATCTTCTATACCGCTTATCCTTAGAGGGTCGCAGGGGGTGCTGGAGTCAGTTAGGTTCGAGCGAGAGAAGGTCTACACTCTGGACTGTGTCGCCAGTCAATTGCAGGGCTGACAGAGACAAAGAACCATTGATTTTTATTGTGGGGCTTGAATTTAACTACATTTGTAAGAAAATGTATTCGTATATACTGTACAGCAGCCTTCAAGTCACGCATTCATTTTTTTGAGGCATACGACTTCATACCACCTCCATACATAAATAATGGACATAATCAGTAAGCGAGGAGCGTAGGACTATTCAAATCTGAAATGGAATAAATCAAACACTATTTAAATGTAGGCAGGCTGCAGTAAAAGCTCTTTTTTCCCCTCGCTGCACATTCATTTTCAGCATGTATTAATGCACACAAGAGGACCCCACATAAAAAGCAGATATACAATACCCAGGTTTACATACAGAGAACGTCATGTCATGCATCACATTTAAGCAGGAAGAAAAACAGACTGCATACTGAAGAAAAGACATGTTGGAGCCTTGTTAACTCATGTGTTAGTTAGACGGGAAGATCCTGAAGCAAATGAGCATAAAATGTAGCAGAGAGTCTTTGAACAGAGCTTTGATTTGCCTGCTGCACTGGAAAGCCACAACACCAGTATGTTCCCCGTTACACCAGTAAATCATACAACCACGCAGTGGGGAGAAGAGGGACCACACCTGTGTGAGCAAAGCGTGTGCGCTTTGCTATCGATCTGAGTCAACGTGCATTTCCCAGTGTACAGTAGCCGGATGCACTCGGTAATTGTGAATTGATTGAAGGTTTTTCAGACGCTTAAGGGGCTTTTAGTTGAAAGTGGGCAATTTTAAATGCGAAGATGTTGCCTTCCTGTTTCTGTGTGTGTGAGAGAGAAAAGCTGCCATTTCAGATCCCTCTGCTACTTCAGCACAATGGACAGTGCCATTGATCCATCAATAAGCAGCCCTGTGTGAACCACTTCTGAAACGCGCTGCAGTGCGTCTGGCGGAATCACAAGCATCGTCTACAGTGGCCGGGATCAGCTCCACCGGCGGCGTCTGAGCCTGAACAGGCTGCAGCTCCACATGATGTAAGCTATTGATATTTCAGAGTATTTGTCAGAGCTATAGACCCAAGCACAAGCCTCAGCCAGATAGAGGATCAATGACCCAGGCAGACTTGTCTCACGTTTACGACCAAACAACCCCTGTGTCCCTGCACTCTTCCTGCTACTCTGGGATGGTGAGGAGGAGGAGGGGTAGTGGAAGGTTAACAAGCAGTGTGCATTTTGGCTCAATGGAAGCACAGAATTTGCATTTGGACCCCGACTGGGTGAAGCCGTGCTACACGCGATTCATCCCGCTTGAATGGCAGCTCCGACAGAGCACAGAGGGAACGGGTGAAGGGATGCTCTTCCTTTCTCCTCTGCAATGCAGCGGCATGTGTGTAACAGAGGTAACAGATGTCGCGATCGTCAGTAAGCCGTCGATTAAGGTGAGCGTGTCGGAGGGCTGCAGAGCACAGACAAAATAACGTTGCTTGTAGGTGAAAAAGGGACATTCCTAACAGCGGGAATATAATTGAATATCTTTGTTCACTGATCAAGTAACAAGGTAGCTCCGAAGAAAGCTTGAGGAAGTTGAAGTCTACCCGGTTCTTCTGCAGGATGATGCGTGCTAAAGTTCCTATCAGACAGCACATTACAATTTATTTGACGGCAACTGTACATCAGCACTCTTATCCGTGAGAGGTTTGACAAATAGCAGTTCTGGCTAACAAAAATCCACATA